CTAAAGTCAGTGCAGCAACAACACCTGGTCCATCAGAGTGAGACCAGGACTGGTGACCAGATCCCATCGACTCAACAGTAACAGCAACTAGAGTTTAACAGTCCTATCTTCAAAAGGAGGTTCCTGGAAGCACTGACTGCATTAATGAGGATGCAGCAGCGTTCCCCTCATGTGAGGTCATTATGGTTTCATCGCTGCCTCCTGCTGTTCTCATTTAGTCTTTGTCCATATATGGTTCCTCTCACACGTCGGTGAAATTACAGCCCACAGTCTAATAAAGCCCTGTTCTGTTTGAACTTAGACCAGGCACTCACCGTCAGCCACATCCACTGATGATCCTGACGTGTTAATGCTAACATCGCCGCAGTGAGCACTAATGGATGTGTGTGTGCTAAATGGACCGTGTCAAGAAAGGGCTTTGAACAAAACAATCAGGATTCACCACAGAGACAGGAGCAAACAGAACTGAACTGTCACAGAGGGATGAGAGAAAATATCAATACAATGAAATATCGCAATATTTCCTTTTCCTGATTCCATATCAATATCCTCCATCATTGATTATTGATTTTTTTTTATCACCAATTCCCAGTCCAGTATTCCTGGTGTTGGTTCATTTTCTTTTTCTTTTCTTTCTTCTCTAGTGATTCCAAATGTAGAACACAGGGGTGTCAAACATACGGCCCGCTTGATACAAAAAAAAATAAAACACACAATCACTTCATGTTCAGAATATGTTTTGTAAAATTATATATCATTAAATATGAAGATTTATGCATGAAAACAGTGGGGAAAAGACAGACTTTTTGTTATTTATATGTAACTATATTATGGTTGTACTGGTTCATATCATCTTGACATTTAATTAGGTTGTATTTGGCCTCTGAACCATAATGAGTTGGACACCCCCCCTCCCCTCCCCCATGGAACAAAATTGTGTCTTTACTATGACGACAGTTTTACTACATTTAAATAAAAGAAAAACTCAATATATTGTCATGCCTATAGTATCGCAATATATCGCAATAATATCTCAATATATCGTATTGTTTCCCCCGTATCGTGATATGTATCGTATCGACAGATTCTTGACTGTCACTGTAAGTGAAGTCTTTAGGTCAAGTCAGCAGACGGTTGGACATTTAATGACGTTGAGCAGGAAGTCGAACGTCTCTTCAGTGACCGGCGCTCCTCGCTGTTGTGTTTCGTCAGCTTTGACCCACTGCAGATATTCTCAACAACAACAACCGAATGCGTAACGTTTGCATGAACACAAACGAACAGGAGGTTCTGGACTAAGATGATATCAGCCTGGACCTCATTGGATGAGTGTTCCGTCTGGACCGGCGGAGACGTGACGGCAGCTCTCAGAAGATAACAACGTCTCAATCTCACATACCGGCTCTTCACTTCAGTTATCTCTCATCAAGTGCCTCTCTCTCAGGCTCTACTTTTCTACTCAGCATGAAGGGCCACGGTCACTGAATCAAAGTGAATAGAAAACGACGTTCGCTTCACTTAGACATGGAGGTGAAAAGGTGCTTTTTTTTCTATCTCACTGATCTTTCAGGACCTTCACTGAAGAAAAAAGGCCTGAATAAATAACGAAACTCCTCCCCCACACCCCTCCCTCCCTGAGCAGCAGTTTCTTGGATATAAAACAACGGTCTCCCCACTCCTTACCTCGGAGGTTGAACATTGAAAGCCATAAACATGTTGTGTTGGCAATATTGCTGGTTTGGATCCCAATCCTGGTAGGACTGTGGTGTGTTCAGGGGGCGCTGGAATCCTGGGCACAATAAATCTGCAGCCCACTTCCCCCCTCCTGTGTTGAACAACACGTGCATCTGTAACAATGAAAAAAAAAAGAAAAAAAGAAACCATTTAAAATGAAGAAGATAATAATATAAACGTCAATTCCTTAGTAGGAAATAAAAATGGATATTATTATCTCTCCTCAAAACAATAATCTGACTCTGAGGACACTGGGATTCCAAGAGTGGATTAAATAAACCTTAATAAAAAAATATATAAATAAATAAATAATGATAAAACATTTGTAAATCTCATTAAAGGACATTTGGGAAATGTCCACTGCGTCAGTTAAACTGAGAAAATCATGTCCACACTGTGAGAAGAGGTAAGAAATGATTTGTGGATGTGGAGGAGAGCGTCTTTCGCATAAGGACGCAGACAATCATTTCTTATTCCGGGGAGAAATATCACACAGTCACCTGACTCAGACTCATTCTGATCCACCAGATAAGAAGATTTGAAAATGCTGCCGCAGGAAGGGCAGTGTAATCTTCCTCATGGCCTCAGACCTAGGTGTATCAGCAGCTGTAATGTCATTACCATTCAATTTCATGCAGACATTCAAATCACAGCGCTGGGACTGATGGCGGTGACATTTCGTTCAGTAATCCTCCAGCACAGAAATCCCGAGGAAATCATAACGAATGCCTGACTTTTCCAGCAGCACTGCCATGGGATTCATAAATCCTGGTTTTTTGAATGAAACGCCTCAGACGTTTGATGGGATTTCAAATGAGGTGTGTGTGTGTGTGTCGTCGTACATCAAGAGAATAGGTCTCAGTGAAGACAAACAACATCCACACTGCAGCAAACTGCACAGATTTACTTGTCTTGTTGGAAAATTGCTGAAAAATGTCTTGACTATAATTGGCTTCTCATTCCCCTCCCTGAATGCTCTGAGTTTTTACTGAACATTCATTTTCAGGACGTAAATATGTCTCTCATACACCGCAGTTTTTACAGACGTATGATTATTACTGAAGAGGTAAGACACGTATCAGACTTAGCTGTAGATAACAGTTTAGCTCAGTTAACAATACACACAATTAGTCAACAACAAAACTAACCAACCACCCAATCGTTCAGCCACTCTGTTTATTAAAAGGGTGATGGGTTGTTGGATATTAACAAATTAATTTATGAAAAATACAAGAAATCATAATAATAAATGAATATATAAGTGACCTGCTGACTTATTAAATACAACATTAAACAACATATATAAGGACAGCAAAAACAAGTTTACAACTAGCTGGAGCACACACAAAAAAACAAACTTTTGTTGTTGCAGTTCTATTATTTGACATAATTGTCCTTGAAAGTTTTAAAAGAGTTTTTAAAAAAAAAAAACCCCATGAAAAAGTCATAAAGTGAGGATTAAAGACTTCGACAGCAGTATTTGGTTCGTTTTATTAACCTCTAAAAAAGGGGGCGGAACAGTCGGACACCATCTCTTTCCTATCGGGTTGTTTTACAGGACGGAACCTTTACCGGAAGTAGCCTTGTACCGTAGCTGTCCGTGTGTCGGTTTCCGCGACTGTGCATTTGTATTATATTCGACTCTGTTACTGTACTGTTCTCTAGATCTGAAGACGTGAAGTGTAAGTTTCATATGAATGAATTTATTATCTTTACTTTCAATGAAAATAGAGGTTTTATTGAATCAGGGACCGCTCGTTTGTCACACGTTAGCGTTAGCATGCTAAGAGTTGCTAAAAGCGTTTTGCTCGACTCTCATGTGAAGACAACAAACCATGTTATTGGCGCCCGTTTGTGAATTTGAGAACAATTTGTCGATAACTTTACTGTGAGTTGATGCTACATGTTTTACTTTTGTTACTCACTTTATAATGTTTCTTCTTCTTCGTGTTTCTCCCTCCCAGCTCTCGGGATAATCTCCAGCCAACACCATGACGGACCGATACAACATCCACAGCCAGCTGGAACATCTACAGTCCAAGTACATCGGCACTGGACACGCAGACACCAGCAAGTGGGAATGGTTAGTGAACCAGCACCGGGACTCGTACTGCTCGTACATGGGACACTTCGACCTGCTCAACTACTTCTCTGTCGCCGAGAACGAGAGCAAAGCCCGAGTTCGGTTCAACCTGATGGAGAAGATGCTGCAGCCGTGTGGACCACCAGCAGACAAACCAGATGATTCTTAGACTTTTCTCTGACCGATGTGTTTTTATGTATGGATGAGTCTTTAATGCCATTATGGTCTGTTTGGACCTCTGACCCAACAAACAAACAAACCCTGTTCCTGTCTGTGCAGTGGTGCAGCTACAAACACTGGCAACCATGATGTGTTTGACGTGACGTCATTAACGTCTGTGTGACCGTTGCTGTAGTTGCTCCTGTTTTTCTTGCTCTGTAATGTTTTTGGTTATGATTAAATCATTTTTTCTTAATTCCGCTCTGTTTGGTGTAGTTAATTAACCAGTTAATCTGTCAGTATGTTTGGTGTAGTTAATTAACCAGTTAAACAGTTGGTGGTTTCAACAGTAACTTATATTTTTTTGTTAAATGTTAAGCACATTACAGTTTTTTTAATGAAGGAAAAACTAAATGTTAAATACATTACAGTTTTTTTAATAAAGGAAAAACAAAAACAACAGCTGCAGAATCATTTACGTCATTTTTAATGGTTCCTGAACTGAACAGATTCTCTAAGGATTTATTTCCTCAACTCATAGTTCCAAGAAAAAACAGGAGCTTAAAAAAGTTAAATATGACAAAGATTGAAAAAATTAAAAACATCACTACTATTATTTATATATTAATGTTATTTTAAACATATTGTACAAAACATCTCAGGGCCTAAACTATTAAACTATAAACAGGATTTTAAATTAAATTTAGTTATAGTTTTGTAGTGTGTTGGGGAGGTAAATGTTAAATACATTACAGTTTTTTTTAATAAAGGAAAAAAAACAGCGGCATAATCATTTACGTCATTTTTAAAGTTTCCTAAAACGCACATATCCCC